TCCTGTTAAATGCCTGTATGCCCTTCTAAGCCTGTCTCTCAACAGTGGGAATTTACTGGAAGTCCTACAGTTATCCCATTAAAAATCAGCAGTTTTGTTTTGACTTATTACCATGGGCAGTCTGGGAGTTCAGGAGGTTCTGTCCACTGTTGCTAATCCCTGGGCTCTTCTCATTATTCAGACTTTCATGCATGGACATGAATAAAGAGTTGGATAGTTAGCTAGCAGAGATGTCCTCATGCTTGCCTGGAATTAAAGCATAGATGTATCTTATTACATCAGTTTTCAAATCTCCTAGGATTTTTAGCTAATCCCATTTAAACTCAATTTTGGATACACTATGCACTCAATATGCACTTCATCCACTGGGACTTCAGCACCTAATTGCTTCATGCAATCTGTATAGCTCTGGAATATTTGTCTGTAGCATATATAACTCCTTGCTTCCCATCCTACATGTGAAGGTATTGTCTCCCACTTTGGCAGCAGAGTCTTAGATCAGCTTCTTGGAATCTTCACAACCTTGGTGTCAAACAACTACAGCACCTTTGGCAATAGTTCTTGATTTTTTTTTAATGGCTGATGATCAGACAGTTCATTTTGTTCTGTGATAGGGGACTTAAAACAAGAATGATTGAGAAAGCACAGCCAGTATGTATCTCAGGGGTTTTTTGTCTTAGCTGTCCCATGAGGCTGTTGTGTGTCAGGCTAGTGCAGTTTTTGTTACTCTTTCAAAGAAGTATTCCTGTGGGCACTGAAATATTTCCTTGTTCTGTCATGAAATAGACAATGCAACAGATTAATACCTACAGTAGATAAACAAGGGCTAGATGGGTCCTTGACAAGTTCTGTAGTCCATCCTTGACTCGACTCATCTGTACCTGAACAAGGTCTGGCATGTATACTGGACCTTTAATTGTTGCCATGATAGACCCTGCACAATCACCCTAAGCAATCTGTTCCAATGCTTCAGTCTTAGCACTAGAAAATTTTTAATTGTCTCTAAAAAAAACATTCTTGCAACAGTTTAAGACTATTGTATCCTATCCTGTTCTCAGCAGTCATTGAACACAGTTTATGATGTTCCTCTTTGCTGCAGCTTTTAATTATGTTTGAACTTTATTATCTTCTCATGTCCTCTCTTATTCTTTCAGTTTTGCTTTATTATTTGTGTTTCCTGGCCTATCATCTGTTACTTACTTTTCTCTGCCTTGTTCTGATTGCCCATATTTCCTGAAGTGCACTGCCCGCAATTTATACAGTGTTTTAAATTAAGCTTCTTTTTTAACGCTACTAAGTAAACAGGAAAAATGTTTGCATGTCTCATTATAGTTGCTTTTTTTTTGCAGTTTGGCCAAACAGATTTATGTTCAGGACCTGTTCAGTTTTAAAGTCCTATGGCCAAAGCAAAGTGCAAACAAGACCAAATGCCTATTCCACAACACTGACTTTATTTGGTAACATTTAAGTGTAAAGGGAAGGAGAACAGTAGTGCAAGCAGAAAAAGGTCACCATTGTGGATGCAGCTCCTTTGGTCCTTCACTGCTCTGGGCTTCTTGGTGTGGTGGTCCTCTCTGGAGGTTGTACAAAGCAACCTCCAAAATCGAGTGTCACATTTCTGACCCTGTTACTTGCACTAGTGCAGTTATTTCATGTGTAACCCATGCTGCAGTTGAATATTGTGAAAACTCTCAGTGTCAATCCAGGTGCGTCCTGAGGCCTTTAGCTTAGCACGTACCTTGACCTGTTACTAGAAATGGCAACTCTGTATTAAAGGGCATCCCAAGCTGCACAGAGTTGAATAGCACAGCACAGGGATGGACCAGAAATGTAGATTTCAGAGGCAGGTGCACACTGCAGAAATCAAGGAGCAACAACAAAAGCTAATATTCAGTCCAGGAACAATGCTGCCTCTGAGAGTGAGAGAAACAGGGATACTAGGGGGTCAGTAGCATGCAAGGAATAGCAGTACAGGCAGTGCCTGGAGACAGACTTCCAGAAATCTCTAATGTGCTTCATGATCCTCAACATTTGCACACTAGGGACACCTGCACACCTAGGGTCACCCAACACCAGCAAGCTCTTAGCTGTCGTGTACATTCTTACCTTCTTAAATCATCTGCAGTGCAGTCCTGGTGATCTTGACAAGCACTTGCCAAGGCTAAAAGAAAGCCTAAAGATGATGATTTTCAGTAACATGTTTTGGAAAGTCCATATTCATGCAACACAATCCCACAAAAAAGGCAACTGCAGATCTCCCTGCAGTATCACAGCTCTTGCCAGGCATGGATGTAGGAACTCAGTCTCATCATAGACCAGAACGCGTGCGCACCTATGGGGGTGTGACTGGCCCTACTGTTGATTCACAAATTACACGAAATTATAGAATTTTTTATTTTAGGAAAATCAAAGTAAAGGAGAATTCAGGATCAAAACACCTTATACAGGCTGGATATATATTTAGAATGATAAGTATTGAAATGCTGAGCACAAGGAGGCCTTGAGGTCTTCCACATCACACACTCGATGTTGGAAACATTCCTACTAGACACAAACTGGGAAATCCTGAAGTGAAATAACATTAAGGGAATTATCCAGTAATTTCTAGGAAAGCCAACTGTTTCCTCAAAAATTTCTGAGTACATTAACTGTAAGCTTATGAACCCTTAAGAAAATTAACATATATGAAACGTTTCCCTCCCACACATATGGGATGCCTCTTGGATTTGCTACTAACCACCAACTTCAGTCACAGCTTATTTGAATGAGCAAGGACTACATTTGTTACATCCATTGAAAATTGGAAGCTGTAAAAATTTCCAGCACTTTAGATGCAAGAGAAAACTCAAAATAATCTGACCTAAACAATTACGCATTCTGAGAAAACACAATGGAATTGTCTTACCTTGGGCCCACATTCAGGATGTTGAAAAGAGGCTACCAAGCCTGGAAGCTGGGGGCCAAAATCTGCTTCTACTCCTTCATGTAGGACTGACTGATGTTGGGACAAAGAGATTCCAAAATATTGGAAGGGACTTCATGTCCCTCAGAAAGAAGTTGAAAGGATTGGAAGCACAGGTAGCATTCTCCTCTACCTTCCTGGTAAGAAAGAGGGACTCTGGCAGAGTGAAACAAGTGGATGGGGTGAACGACTGGCTGCAGGACAATGCTGTGCTTAGGGCTTTGAGGCTGTGGTCTGGAATGTGCCTTGGAGAGCCTGGGCATGTTGGCACCAGCTGTGGAGTACCTCACCAAGCAGGGCAAGGGTGGCCTGGGGACCAAGTTCACAAGATTTACAGCCAAGCTTTAAACTAGATTTAGTGGGCAAAATGATGCTCTAGCAAGTGTCAGTGAGGAATCAGGAAACAATAGGACTTTAGGGAACAGCAGCAGAATACCTGTAAATTTCCCCAAAGGAAAAGGAAGGAGGAGGACTCCTGCCAAAGGCTGAAGATTCAACAGCCCAGCTGAAGGCCTCTAGCCCCATGCACACAGCATGCATAACAAGTAAGAGGAACTGAAAACCATTTTCAATTGGCAAACTGTAGCTCAATTGTTATCATGGAAATGGTGGGACAAGTTACGTAACTGGAGCATTGTAATTAAGGGTACAAGCTTTTCAGAAGAGATAGGCTGGCAAGGAGGAGCAGGGATGTTGCCTTCTATATCAAGGAAGGGATAGGTTGTGAAGAGCTGTGTTTGGGAAACAGCCACGGACAGGTTGAGTGCCAGTGGCTAAAAAACAAGGACAGGATGAAGAAACGATACCTGGTGGTCGAGGTCACATACAGGCCGCTGATCCAGAGGAGCCTGTTGATGAGGCCTTCTTGGTTTGGCTGCAGGGCACATCATCCTCACTCCCTCTCATCCTGATGGGGGGGTCCAGCCACCCAGACATCTGCTGGGAGAGCAATACAAGCCAGCTGTAAGCAATCCAGCACACTCCTGGGTGTGCAGAGAACAACTTTGGGTCCAGGTACTGGCCAGACCAACTGAGGAGAAGCCTGGCCGGGCCTGGTGCTCACTCATGTGGATGAGCTCATTTTAGGGGTTAAGTCTGCACGCAGCCTGGGCTGTGGTAACCATGCCCTGGTGAAATGTGTGATCTCATGGAGCATGGGCCTGGCAAGGATAATGGTCAGGACCCTGAAGTTTAGAAGAGAAAACTTTTGATGTTTAAGGAGTTGGTGAATGAGATGCCTTGGGACACTGTCCTTAAGAACACAGGGGCTGACCCGAGCTGGCAGCACTCTAAGGCTATTTTTCTTAGAGCACAAGAGCTCACCATCATGATGTGTAGAAAATCTTACCAGGTGGCAAGAAAATGGCATGGCTGAGCAAAGATCTGCTCCTCAAATTGAGAAAAAAGAAGAAAATGCACAGTGGAGGAGGGACAGGTGACTTGGGAATAGTACTGGGATATGTATAGGGTGTATAGGGACAGCATCGGGTGTATAGGGACAGCATGAGGAAAGCCAAGGCACAGATGGAACTGGGCTTGGAGAGGGATGCAAAGAATAACAAGAAGGAATTCTGTGAGGATATAAGTCAGAAGAGACAGGCCAAATAAATTGTATCCCTGCTGGTAAACAAAAAGAGTGAACTGGTAACAACTGATACAGAGCAGGCCGAGGTGCTCAATAAGTTCTTTGCCTGAGTCTTCACTGTGAAGTTCAGCACAAAGAACAAAACTCAAAGAATAATACATAAGGACTAGATAGTGAATTGACTAGGCAGCAGCTCTGCAGTGGGGGTTCTGGATTTAGTGGGATTAGGACCTATAAAACAAGGATTAGTGACATTTGCAATACAAGGCTTAAACAAGCTGGACAGTGAAAACTTTTTACAGAAGACTTCATAGGTGCCTCTGCAGAAACTGGACCAGACTTTCAGTTTTGACCTTGCTGGGAGCAGGATCGACACTGAAAGTTTTCACAATATTCAATTGCAGTGTGGGTTACACATGAAATAACTGCACTAGTGCAAGTAACAGGGTCAGAAATGTGACACTGTTTTGGAAGTTCTTGCTTTGTACAACCTCCAGAGAAGACTACCACACCTGTCTTGAGTTGCCAGCACCTTTGCCTGAGCTGCTCTTGCTGCCATATCTGTTTATTTGAAGTATTTATTTTTGTAGCATTCTGTATAGGTGTAATGACTGCAGCAAGGGGCCCAGACCGGCTGGGAATCTGAACCATTTATTCAGAGAAACAAGCTGGTTTTGTACACTTCTTCAAGCGCAGTATTTCCTTGCATGGTAACTCTCATTACGTGACCTATCCCATGTTGCCACCTCAGCAAGGTGCCTCTGAATGTCCTTCTGTGGGATGATCACGTCCTGTAAACGTGCCTGTCAGCTTCCAGCTGGCTCGTGTCCCATAGGGGTCTGCCATGTGGCACCTCCTTCCCCCAGGGTCCTGCAGAGACAGCGTCTCTGTGCTCCCTTGTGCTTCTTTGTGCTGCCATGTGCTTCTTTGTGCTGCCATGTACCTGTGTGCTGCCATGTGCTCCTTTGTGCTGCCCGTGTGCTTCTTTGTGCTGCCATGTGCTTCTGTCGGTGCATCCCATAGCCCACAGCTCAACTTCATCCCATCTCTTCCCACAACTCCCCATTTTTTGTTTTATATAAACAAGAATCATGAAACAAAACATTTCTAGTGTTAGAACAAGTTTAGCCCACTGCCTGAACCAAACAAGCTCCGTTCATCTTGTTCCCTCAGCTTCCCCACAAGCTGATGATAGAGCTGGAGTAATGAAGGCTGGTTGGATCATTCTTGCAGGTACCCAACATGGACTGGAATCTGTGGAAACACAAGTGTATCTTCAGCTCCGGGTTATCAACGGAAAGGTTTTTTCCATTTCCCACTTTCAAGATTCTTAGTAAGTCTAAGTGAGCTTCTAATTTACAAAAGTGCTGTTGGACAGGAGTTAGGTCACTCTGAATATGATTCAAAATATTAAGAACATATAAGACTTTTGTGGAGGGTATATCCCATTTCTGCACTCTTTTTTTTTTTGTCTGTGTCTAACATGGACATTTTTCAACCCAGTGAAACACTGCATCTAATAAAACAAGCGCTAATGAGCAAAAATAAGCAAGGTAATATCTTTGGCTGCCAAAATAGTTTACCATCACCCAGAATCTGTATGTGGCACCTCCTTCCCCCAGGGTCAGCCTCTCTGTGCTGCCATGTGCTCCTTTGTGCTGCCATGTGCATCTGCAGGCACATCCCACAGCTCAACTCCATCCCATCTCTTCCCACATACAGGCGCACTTCTCCATCCCAAATAAACTACACAAGTGGAAGTGCAGCCATGCTAGGCCAGTTGAGGATTATCCTCTTTCCATCTTGTTACTGTCCATTGCCACTTGGCATGTCCCTAATGCAGTGAACCCTAAGTTTGCAGTGGTTATGCAAGCAAAAGACTTTGTGTTATTCTAATGCAGTATATGCCTTAGCTAATAAATTTCAACACTATGACTTTGAACATTAACAAGGAATCCCTTCTGTAAGTAAGTTTATATATGGTTTGCAGCTGACTCTTAATCTAAAATTACCTGACTAAGCAGAGGCAAATATCAGGAATGTTCCCAATAGAGAGATCAGTGTTTTCAAAATAGCCTTTGCAGGCAGGGTTATCATCAATAGTTCTATGGTTTTATGGTAAGATTTTTCCAGTAAAATCTTCTTGATTAGTCATAAAATAATTTCAATGTGTATATACATATGTATTTATATATTAATTGACAAAGTTAATAGTGAGAAAATTTAACATTTTTGGGAGAATATGAAGTACCTATTCTGTTACAGTAATACTACTATAATTTGTAACAAAGAAGTGTCTGTAGGCATGTCCCCATATTTTACTAGAGCATCACAGAACTGGTGCAAAACTGTTGCTATTGCAAAGGTTCAGAGAAATTTAATTCAGTCTTTAAATTCATCAAGTAGCAGTCAGAAAAACCCAGAAGTAATTCCAGACTAAGAAACCAATGCCCAGTAGCTCAGGAATTTTCACCTGAAACTTTTATACCATATGAACAAAATGTGAGCTCTTGCAGAAGGCGAGGAAAGAGGTCATGCTAAGTAATAGGGCGCAGAGATGAGTGGGAGGTAAGTGGTGGGATGCTGCAGGAAAAGGGAGTTTGTATCCGGTTTTATGTAACATAATTTCAGGTTACCCCCTTCAAGATCATCAAACAGTGTGTTAATGAAATTAACAGACAATACAGAAGAATACTGAAAATGCCATTGAAAAAAGAGAAGCAGGAAGTAACAAGAAGTCACTCTGACAAATGCAAGATAGTACATCTGGAAAATGATTATTCAAAATGCAGATTGTTTTTTCTTCTCTGGTGGGATGACTCTCAGCTACACCAGAGAGAGTGGATGGCAGTTTGTGTGTCTGAGTTTCCTCTGACAAGGCAGACAAAAAAAATGCATGGGGAGCTTTTGCCAAAAGGATTGCTCCTGACTGAGCAGCTCGAGTGACACCCAGGCTGGGAACATTGCACCTTCTGTCTCACAGCCACTGAGGAGTACAAAGGTGGTTGGGATGGCTTTCCTCTGAAAATCAGCCTGGTAAATCCAGTACAGAGGCATCTCTTTCTGTGAGCACCGGGTGCTGATGTCATATGTACTGCAAGTCAAAAGTGCTTCTTTGTGTTTGCAGCCTTGCAAATTCAGCTGTCTGAGAGGCAAACTCTTGTCTCCCATCAGCTTTAAAGAACTGCTTTCTTTCTCCTCCTGTAATTACAGTTATTTGCATCTTCAAACTCCTAGGAATTTCAAGGGAAATTGCAGGAAGAGACACTATCTAGTTGGAAATTTTCACATTTCAGAAAACAATTCTGCTGATCATTTCCCAGTCATGCTGTTACCCAAATGCATGTGCTTCAGTTTCTCTGTTTTAGAGTTTCTTGTGATTGTCGGACTGGGGAGCACGTTCTTCTCTTTTCCCCTTAAAGATCAATCTTAAAACATTTTGAGATTTGATCTCTTCCTCCCCCCCATCCTCCCCACCCCATGTAAAACATGTATAGAGGTTTGAAGACAATATGATAATGAAAAAAAATAAGCCTAATATTGGACTTACCAGCTGTTATGGTTTAAGCCCAGGCAGCAGCCAAGCCCCATGCAGCCCCAAGCTCACTCACTCCCCCACCAGGGGGAGAAAATAGGAGGAGTAAAAGAAAGAGGACTCAAGGGTTGAGATAAAGAGACTTCAATAGAGAAAGCAAAAGCAGTGCACACAACAAAGCAAAACAGGGAATTAACTCACCACTTCCCATGTGCAGGCAGGTGTTCAGTCATCCCCAGGACAGCAGGCCCCCATCAGTTGTAGTGGTTACTTAGGAAGAAAAATGTCATTATGCCAAACATCCCCCTCCTTATCCTTTTCTCCCCAGTTTATATCCTGAGCATGATGTCACAGGGTCTGGAATATCCCTTTGGTCAGTTTGGGTCACCTGTCCTGGCTGTTTCTCCTCCCAGTCCTCCAACCACTCCCAACTTCTCTGCAAGTGTGGCAGTCTGACACACAGAAAAGGCTCTACATAATGTCTGCTCAACAATAAAAAACTCTTTCATTTTATTTATTACATTATCAACACTGTGTTCAGCACAAATCCAAAACACAGCCCCATACTAGTCACTGTCAAGAAAATTCACTCCAGCCAAAACCAGCACACTAGCCCATTATAAATTGTCCATATGTAGTAAGGTGGAAAATAGTTCCTGCATTTTTAATTTACAGAACAGCCCATGTTTGATTTCCAGGTCCACGATCCTTGTAAAATTTGGTGTTTGCACTATATGAGTGCAGCAGGCTCCTGATTCACAGGAGGCTCTTCCTCTTCCTCCTGCAGAGACTGCCATGAGACAAATAATCCTTGAACATTAAGGATTGTCTAGAAGATTACTCTGAAAGGAATGTTCTGTGTTACACTGACAAAAAATTATATGACTTAACCCAATGGTTCAAACTCTAATCCTCTTGCATGTCACCTGCTAAAGTACCTGAGATCAAGTTGTCTTTAATGTGACAAATGGGTGTGTATACATATTGTTTCTTTTATTTATGGGGACAAGCAGTTGTCTAGGGGGATATTCACCTTAATTAAGGCAGTGTCTTGTATGAAATGTAGAGGGCCAGAGGAACTGAAGCTGGGCATGTAATCAATGAAAGGTACAGCTTGTAGGAACAAGTGGAAGAGTGCACTAAGTCTCTTTCTGAGAGATGTGAACCTCAGGCCAGTTGAAATATGCTTAGGCAAAATGCTGATATTAACCCTTTGCAGAACAGAACATTGTACTGGAATAACCCTTAAAACAGAACAGAACTAAGCAAAACAAAACACAAAACAAGACAAAACAACAGCCAACCAACCAACCAACAAAAAACCCCAAAGGAGGATTTATATAGTGCTGAAAATTTTCTTGTTGTTGAGATTTTCCCTAGTGCTGAGGCATCCAGTTTTAATTACCCTCTGCTGCGAAATTCAGGCTTGTGTGATGCCATTGCACTGACACAGCCTTAGGAAACCTTTCCAGGAGTGATGGGACTGACAGATGGACACTCCAGGTGAGCTGTAGGATGAATATGATGCACACCCATGCATCACACCCCTGATCTTTGGAAAATTGAGTCAACTTTCAAAGACTCCATTAAATAATCAAAAAATGTTGCAAAATCGTCCTGTAATAAGAAAGATGACAGAAAAAGAAACTTTCAATGAAGATAACTATCACATTCCCAAGCAGATTTTGCCGTTCACAAGGTGATAATTTGTTTGTTTGTTCAGGCTCTGTGAAATACCAATTTGTATGATTCCTTTGTTGATTTCTACTAGCTCATGTTTGCACAAAAACAAATAGTTCTGGAAATTATATAGGTACCACGGTGGTATATATTTTTTATGTGTCTTAACCACTTGTTTTACTGTCAGAATAGTGTTCTACTCTGGCATGCAACAGAGTTTAAACAGGTCTGTAAGAGAAGTTGCTTTTCCTTGTGCAGAGAGGGAAGTAATTTAGTTGAATTCTTGCTTTGCTACAAGAACTATTTCAGGTTCAGACTTTTAGCCCATTAAGTTCTTCTCAAGCTTATGATCAGAGATGGTATCTATCACTTGCTTTGCTACGAGAACTCTTTCAGGTTCAGACTTTTAGCCTGTTAAGTTCTTCTCAAACTTATGATCAGAGATGGTATCATTTGCTTTAAGTATCTAAATGGGAAAAACAACTACTGCAGGAGGATTGAAGAATAGAAATACAAGATGGGAAGACCTAAACAAAGGCAAGTTAGTGGCAGATGTAGGAATATAGTTCTACTACTTCAGTGTCCCTCTGGTGCTCTTTAACAGCATATCTCTGCTGCAGCAAAGTCTGTAAGCCAGCTTTCTGAACCAGGGAACTCCTCTTAGCTCATGTTTTGTGTTTGTCTGCCTCTACTCTGCTCCTTGACTCACTCCTGGTGCACTGCTCTGTGTGCTCAGCCGAGGAATGTTGCACTTCCTTTGGGAAGCAAGGGTGCTGCACTGGGTCTCCACAGCCCAGTCTCGGTGTAGATTATGTTTATTACTGAATCACACTACTGCTTGGGAGCCAGGGGTTTTTTTAAATCAAAAATGTTTGGAATCTCAAACATAGGGCCCTCTGCCTGCCAGAATGAATGCAGGGGCTGCACTCCAACAGTCCTGGGCAGAATCAAACCTTGCTGTTTCGCTTTTGCTGTTTATAAATGCCTAAACCAACAAGCAGGACTCCAGTGGGACAGCTAGGCTCTTCCTTGTCCCAAGGCAAGATCAGCATTCCCATTTGCTTCACTCGGCACTTTTGCACAGTAGGGATTTGGTTTAATCTAGTGATGAAATGCATTCTTTTATTTTGCCAGGGATTTTTACAGTCAATATTTACCACATGGATAATTTTTGTTGTTAATGACCGTGGTATCATTAGACATGGCATCAGTGTTGAGGGTGGTGGGGAGGAGCTGTGCTCAGCTATTGCCCTCTGCAGCTTAACATTCAGCTTCCAAGATTAACACGATTTGTTGGACTCCACAATCAAAAATATTGTGCCAGTAGCACAGAGCGAAATGGAATTCAGGAGCCAGCACCTCTGCCAATGGAAATGAGCACTAAGGAGCTGCTGTGGCTTGAGCCAGCAGAGGATGTTGCCAGCAAGTTTTAGCCTGCTTGTTTTTCCAGAAATTGCCACAAAGACACTAGTTTTAACTGGACAGAAAGCCAGCCCAGAGTTCTGTCCGCAGATCATAGTGCTGCAGAGTGGCAGAAGTGAGTCTGCACCAGCGCAGTATAAGCATATCTCTGAGGTGAGCTAGTTGGGTACACAAGGGACAGCAGCCAGCTGCCCGCAATCCTGGCTGGAGAACAGCTCCAGGCAGCAGTGGTGTGTGCTGAGAGGGAAAGTCAAGTGTCTGGTCCCAGAGTGGTGGGGATTAGCAGAACTGTGGTGTAGGAATTGCAACCTTGACTCAGCATCTCCGTCTGCACACTCCATAAGAGTGTCTTGTTATAAGCACTGCTGAGAGTCTTATTTTATTTTATGTAAGTGCAAAGTAATCTATCAATTCTTTTAAAAGGTTGCTACAGGCAGAGGAATGTCTGAGCAATTATGAATTACAGGTTTTGAGATTTAGTATTTTAAGTCATTTAGATGACAAACATTGCAGAAATAGGGAGGATTTTGAAGATACAATTCTCATTGCTTGAGCATAGTTGTGTAAAAATATCAGAAAAAAGGTTGAATAAACGTAAACTGGATGAAATAAAACCATTGGGTTTGTATGTGGTGGGATCAGTGGAGTCTGCACTGCAACACACAATACCCGACATGTGTCTGGAAGGCACACACACTGCCTGGGTGCACATTATGCCTGGGATTCCTGCAAGGAGAGCTCTGTTTCTTGGTCTTCTGAAGTGAAGCCTCCATCCTTGGGATTTCCAATCCTGCTGCTAGCCTGTCTAAGCTATCACATTTAACTTGTATCTGGAATTTGGACCAATAAATAGTATCAAATATGCATGTTTCCTGTGAAATGATTGCAGGGAATAGGACTTCAATATGCTCCTGTTGTGGCCTGTAGCAAAAACAAGTCCTTGGCCCAAAATATCTCTGGTTTAAGAAGGATTTTCATACGTGTTTTGTAAAACGGCAAGACACAGCTACTTTTAGCAAACCAAGTGCTTTTAGTTAAGTGTGTGTGTGTGTGTGTGTGTCTGGAGCTTGAATTAAGGCTTGTGTCAACTTACTGTTTTCTAGAGCTGTTCATGTTGACAGTCATTATGAAGTCCCAAGGACCTGGCCACATAGTAGTGTCATGAGCACGTTACAACCACAATGACCAGCTAACGAGGTGTCAAGGTGATCAGGAGCAGCAGAAGCTTGAACTCGTTTTGAAGAGGGGTTTGTTTAAGGGAAAATAGCACCTAGAGATTTGTGCAAGGAAAATAAAATAGCACTTAGAGATTTTAAACCAGGAAAATAAAATAACTTTGGAAACAGCATATGGATATTAGACGGTTATTCAGAGTTCATAATACACTGTGGTACTGTATGCAGCTCTCTCAGTAGCTAAAATTAGGTGATTATGTAAGGAGACCACAGCATACATCTGAATAGCTACTGTATTGGGTTAATGATGTCACTCATCTTTATTGAGTCACTATGCTATGGCTTGGCCAAGAGGCACCATGAATTCAGCAGCCATGAAATCATAGCCAATGATTAAACTTAAGTGAAATAAACACAACAGAGGTTTTATGAGGGGAAGCAAAGCATTTCTCAACCAGAGATCTCCTGTCCAGAGTCCCAGTTGACATTGCTGCCAGCTGTTATTCCCTGTATGTCTTTAGGAAAGACCTTTTTTAGCTTTTAAACCAATGATAATACAAATTCTATAATGAATCTATCAGTTTATGATTGATTTGGAGACATCATATGAGCTATTGCTCTACGTAATTTAACTGCTGGCTATGAAATTAGTTATTTTTGTGTTGAGGTCTCATCACTGAGACAATCAATGAATGCTGTACTTTATACATTGTTGACATATGAAAATAGATGCAGGTATGCCAAAAGTAAGGTGAGAATTAAATTTTATCTATGCATAGTAATGTGCCTTAGCTTTCTCACCAGATGCAATCCAAATTTATTTTCCTGTTGTATTCTTCTTACGAGTGATTTATTTGCTCACCTATGTTAGGTACTGAAGTTAGGTACTGTTTTCCATGTTCAGTAGTGATATACATGCCACACATTTCTCCAAGTAGTTGTGGAGCCTTTTTCTGAATAGTTGCCAGTTTTATGTCAGCAAAGATTGAGGAGGATATAAAGGTGAACATGCAGGAACAGGCTGGTTTCCTCAAATTTTGTGTGACTGTGTTGCCCTGATCTGAGTTGTCTCTCACTCTGATGAAGGCACTGATGCCTTCACCTGGAACATGCCTGTTAGGATGAGCTTTGGAGTTGTCCCCTAGGGTTTTGCCATGAGTTTTTCACTTCCAGTGGTCTTGAGTGCTGGTATCACAAGCTCTGGCATGCAAAGCCGCTGCAAGGAAAAAACCTGGCAGGAAATGAAGCCTTGTTTATTTTTCAGAAGGTGCCCAGGCCTGCAGAGTCACAGGGCTTTAAAGTGCCAGAAGCAGCTATTTTTGGGATAGCTTGGTGATGAGCAATGGTCAGGGCACTGATGGTGGCCAAGTTTGCAGCCCTGGCAGTACAACTGTGGCTGCCCATGCTGTACCTGGCAAGAGCTCTGCTTTCCCGGACCAGAAAGCAAAGGCTGCATTTGGAAACTTGTTCTTTTCCTATATATCTACTCTACTGTTTGAAGTAACCGTTCCCACGCGTTTCCTGTCAGGGCCCTCCAGGCCCCCAAACTCTTTTCTTACTCTGCTTTTTTTTAACCCAGAAAGCTGCCTGCTTTGGGAAAGTTTGCCTGGGATTGCACTGTACCCATTTGTTTGCAATGAATGAGGAGCATTTTTCATTTTTGCTGAATTATTGTTGCCAGATACCATGTGTACACATGTTCCTGGCCATCTTGCAGGGAGCGCTGGCAAATCTGCAAAGCTGATGTGAACTGCTCCAGCAACTGAAATGGCTCCTCTCAGCCAGACCCTGCCGAGGTCAGGAAACACACATGCTTTGCTCTCTGTGAGATCTCAAACAGAAGGCTTTCTTCAGCTGGATGGAAATAGGGGTGCTGCAGCCCAGCCTCCCAACTCCAAGCACCTTTCTGCTTTCTCCCTGCATTCTCTTCATCCTGTTTGCTGACAGCTTTTGGCCACACAGGCAGCCCACAGCAAGAGCCTTTGGGGAACACTTAGAAAACACATGGCACGTGAGATTGAAATTGTGTGACTTAATGCAGACTTAGGACTATCTCTTCCAGGGATTTTTTTTCCTCTAAAGCTAATAATGTGAGGATTGTTGCTATCTTCCATTGCCTTCATGGGGAGGGTTTTGTGGTGGTGAGTTTTCAGAAAGGAGTAGCTTTTATTGGCTTTTAGTTTCACCATGTCCCATAAAGTGTGTGTGTTTACCCTGATTACCATCCCATTGTCTGGCTGATCAAGGGGATTTGTCAGGATGGACAGACATACTTGCAGACCAGTGCTGGAAATGAAGTGCCAGGAGTTGGTAGCTAAGAATTTCTTTCAAAGCCTGGTGGGATATTTTGTCCCTGCAATGCCAGAGCACTTTGTTGGACTGCCTGATGAGCTGTGTGGGGTCCAGGAAGAGGTGAGCTGAGCTCCCTTTGTGTCTTGCCATAGGAAGTGTTGGCTGAACGGATGAGTTATCAGAAAAGCTTTTCGTTTTGCTGAGCTGAATTCTTCTGGTGGAGAAACTGCTGAGTTTGGAAAAGCCTAGGAAAAACAGCCAATCTTTACTGTTCTTCTTAAAATATTTGTGTGTGGAAATGCATAAAAGCCCAAGAAGCAGAGTATTTGCTTTTTTCTCTTAATAAACAGTTATCCATGTGAAGTATGAATGATGTTGGTAACCACTGAAGCAGCATCACTCTCCTTGATCCTTATGTGCTATTCCTTGGATATGACTCAGAGGACCTGCTTTAACTTTGTCTGCCCTGAAGTGGTCAGTCAGTAGGACTAAACAACCCTTTTATGTCCCTTCCAACAGAAAACACTCTTCTATTCTATTCTATTCTATTCTATTCTATTCTATTCTATTCTATTCTATTCTATTCTATTCTATTCTATTCTAGTGTCTGTATGGACAGAGCCCCACAGCATCAGCAAATCCTGTGCAAGTGGAGGCCACCACACGTTTGCACAGCACCAGCTGGCAGCACCACGCCACTGTGGGGCTCTGTCGGGTGTGAATGTGGACAAATGTTTGTATTTCTGCTCTGCATTGGTTGCCCTTGGTTACAGGTCTGAGCCCAGGGAGGGTGGCAGAGCCATGGACCACAGCAGATGCAGCTTCTGAGTTTGTGTTACTGAGCAGAGCAGGAAAGAGATTTTCCATGGGACCTCTCAAAGGAAGGCAGAATCACCACACTGAGTTTTCACTGCTGCTTATATTTCTTGGATGGGGATGGATATAAAGATCAAGACATCAGCTGGTCTATTTCTAGTGTGTGAGAAATTATTGAGCCAAAGCACTAAAAAGCGAAAAAGAGGCTCTGCTGTAAAAATATGCTATTTCTTGGGAAAAAAAGAAAAAAACAGCTATAAATGTCATCAACAGGCTAAAGAAAAGGCAATAGTACCAAATGATGAGTGGGGCTAGGGGAATGTGTGTTACAGAAAGCATATAAGGAACAACTCTTGACAGTCTGAGAAGGGCTGACAATAAAACACATGATTTAATGAGCGCCGGAGAGCAGACTCAGCCATAAAACTATACATTTAATGGCTGTCCTATTTACTGAGTTATAACACTGGAAGAGGTGCATAAACATGAATAAGTCCGTGTGGGATTGTCCTTTTTTTAAAGCAAGGCTTTATCATTACTGTTTTAGAGTCTTCACACAGAGTGAATTTAAAGTACATTTCTGAGTTTGGAGTTATCAAAGAATATAGGGGAGATATATGCTTTATCATGAGACAGGTTAAGCCAGTATATTAACTTTTAATTAACTTCCTTGACCTAAATACAATAACACTGTTGTGGCCTTGACTCTGGACACTCATGTTTTTCATTTATCCTTCAGAGGATGACGAAACAATTTTAGGCTGTGCAATATTTCATCTTCTGCTACAGGGTATGTTATGTAGGGGAATGTCACACTATGTTACCAATGTCAGGTAAGAAAAATCTGTGAGATCCTTTTACATTAAATCTGGCCAATATCACGTGTATTCTAAAAGAACAGACAAAAATGCAAAGGTATTTAAAACAATCTTCCCAGAGTAACTATCCTAAAGAGATGACATGGAAGAGAGGTGCTTCACTGGTTCCTACTAGCACATGAGACACACAGTCAAATACAAACACAATCTGCTACTGAGATTTACCTGCATTGTCCTGTACTGGTCACTTGTTACTGACACAAAGAAATCAGCCTAGGATGCCACCAAGACTTTCCTAATATATTAGCAGGAAAAGTTCCAAAAGAACTGTTGATTCTGGAGAACGTTTTTAAGTATTCCAAATTTTGTTTTGCCAGTTGTCAGAATCAGAAATGGAGGTTTCTATACTCCTTGCAAAAATGTCTCATTATCGCTGACTTGCTCTGGCTTTTAAAATGAGATTCACATTTGTAGCTGAAATGAAACCAGATATCCTTGACAGGAAAACATGTGCTGTAAGCAGAATTTGATGTCCTAGATAAACACAAAAAAATGTGCTGCAGGGTTTTCTTCAGCTCCTCCCAAACAGCCCCTTGGACTGGCTTCATTTTTTCTTTTTGGTAGGCACCCTGTCCATGTGCGAGCCATAGAAGCTTTCCTTTTTGGATGCATTTTTCCACTTACCCTCTTGTTTTCTGGCATAGCAGAAACCCTGTTCCATTGATTGTCTCAGTGTGGGGGTGGGTGGCATGTGTCACCTGTCTCTGAGCCCCTTGTGTGCAGCAGCACTTGGTCACTGCTCACGCTGCTTTCACCTCAGTATAAAAAAACCCCTAATTTGGCTGGCACATGATACTTTGTATGGGTATAATTGGAGTTAGTCAGGCTCGCAGTTGGAGTGAACACAATTGGGGTTAGTCAGGTTCAGACCTGATAGCTGGCAAAAAGTTCTGTGTTAAATAAAGGGGATTCCCAAATAGATGTAAGGTGTTGCCTCTGGAGTCATGTTTCTAATGAGTTCCTCACCTAGCACCTGAAAGGAATTTTTGAAACAGAATGGAAAACAGAAAAGAAAATATTGTTGTGCCTCTGTGGAAATCCAGGGTTTGGTCCTGCACAGTGTCCTGAAGGCAGCATTTTATTCCCTGTGGTCCAGATGGAAGATAGAGAAAAGACACAGGTGATGAGAGATATGAGGGTTCCTCAGGTTGGACAGATCCATGTGGAATATGAAGGCAACTCAGTGGGACACCGCAGTGGGAAGATAACTGATGAAATGGAGTTCCAGTGGCAGCAGAGGAACTCTTGCTTGCATTGCAGAGAATTCAGTTGCCCCAAAGTGCAGGGGAGCTCTAATTCACACTGGGCAGGTTCTCAGCAAGACAGACCTGCCAAGGATTGTTGGACACCAATAGAACATAGGGCTCAGGATGTTCTGAACTGTGAACTGTTGGGTCTGGGATGGGATTCTTAGGGAAAATAGCACTCCCAGTTTGCTTTTTTATTCTGCTCCTTTCCCAGCTGAGAGCCACTGTAAGAAATGGGGTGCTGAGAGATCTTCATCCTACCTTGATTGTACAGTCACTTTCACCCTCAGAGAACCTGCCTAGTCCTGTGCAAAAGAATAGAAAAGAGTCTCTGTATCTTTCAAAATATAGTAATTCAAAATTGATCTCTAAGCTGTGAGTTTTTTAAGGAAAAAAAAATTCATCTTCAGATAGAAACTTCTATTCAAAATTATACTGAATGTTAACAAGAAGTGCCTGCTGACTCTGTTTGTATCAGAGGAAAATGATATTAACCTGAAATAAGAATTACAGGACATGTTTACAGCATGTGTGAAGCCAGAGATTAATGTATGAGTCATGAGGCTGTCCAGGAAGAGAAAACTGTGGGTGAGTGCCAGTGGGGAAAAACCCGAGGAGTTAGCAACATGATCGGAGCAGAGTGAAATGTGGTAAAGGTCTGGAAATCTCAAAACACATGAAGATGATCGGGGCGTGGAGCACCTCTCCTTTGAGGACAGGCTGGGACCACTGGGATTGTTCAGCCAGGAGAAGAGAAGGCTTCGGAGAAATCTTATAGCAGTCTTCCTGCAAATAAAGACTCACAGAGAAGCTGGAGAGGGACTTTTTATAATTGCATGTAGTGATAGGAAAAGGCTGAAGGACTTCAAACTGAAATATGGTAGACTTTGGTTTAGGAAGAAATGCTTAACTGTGGGGGTGGTGAGGCACGGGAACAGATTGCCCAGAGAAACTGGGGATGTCCCATCCCAGTGATGCTCAGGGACAGATTGGGTGGGGTTCTGAGCAACCTGGTCTAGTGGGAGGTGTCCTTGCCAGTGGCAGGAGGGTTGAAATGAGGTCACTTCCAAGGTCGTTTCCAACCCAAACCATTCTATGATTCTATGAAACAGAAATAGAAGGAGTAGGGGGATTGTACAAGGATACGGTTTTTCTATTTGTATGTGAATATTGCTAAGAAAGTATCCAGCTTTGATATACTTATTCAGACTCCTGTGAAGCTGGAGCAACCCCGCAACAGCCGATGGAGTAGTGCTGCTGAGCATGTTCGTGGCTTTAGTCCTGCCAGGACCACCTGGGGATAACGTGTGCTAGTCTGGACCAGGCACTAATATTTGTGCCTTTCCTAAGGTGACAGAGAAGGAAGCTTTTGTTATCAAGTGTGCCACGGGACAGTAAAACAAAGGTTTGGGGCAGAGGGAGGAAACCTGCACATGTTGTAGAGCTCAGATTGCTGTCAAAAAGATGGAGAAGCTGCGGACAAAACGCCAGCTCTTTGGATAATTACAGCAGCCCTTTTCAGCCTTCAAAAGCCCGTTGTTCTTACTTCACTTCACTTGTGAGTGAACATTTTGTGGAAAAGTGAATAAAATGCTGCATTTTCAGCACTGAAGGAAACAATGAACGGGCAAATGAAGATGTCTCAGTGTTGACCTTGAGTACTGGAGCTTGGTGCCTGACAAAGGAAACCTCCCTGCATCAGGCTGAGCTGAGCACCATGTTTCCCTCACTGGCTGCTGCTGCAACTTGTCTGAAAGCCAGTGGGATTTATGCTGCTGAAATATATGGTCTTACTGACCCATGAATACACCTTCTGACCATGAATATACCTGCTGTATAATTTATTGGAATGCTAGTAGTTCAGTCCTGTGATGTTTGTGATAGAAAATCTTCACTTTGAGCCAGTGGGAAATTTTGTCAGGGTGAGGAGTGCAGGCCTGGCCTCTGCTTTGCCTTTTTTCTTTTCCATTGCAACACAATTAACCTTTTCATTAGAGGAGCTCTGTTCCAAATAAGCAAACTTCTCAATGTGTATTACTGAGCCATTTCAAGTTGTCTCTTGCTTTGAAACAAAACATCTTTGTTCCAGCCATGCATGACATTTGGAGACCTATTTATACAATGTGTCAGCTCCATTTGTTTTCCTCATCCTGATATTTTCCTCTGTATTTTTATTTAGCCATTCAGATTGCAATGAACGAGGTTGCTTCTGGTTTCCTCCTGTGCTTCCCCAGACTGAGGCACTGGCTGCCTTTGTCTTTCTCCGCTTTTGTGGGTAGAGGTGAAACAACCCAAAATCAGACACAGCTCTGCCTACTTCATCCTCCTTGTACTGTACACCAGGCTGCTGTGGCATGGAGAGATGGCAGAAGGACCTGCTGTGATGACAGCTTCTCTCCTGAAGTCCTGCTTGTGGGAAGCACAGGGCTTCAATCCCTTCTGCTGCAGGGGTCTCACTGAGGGACAGACTTCCAAGCTGCATCAGTAAATAAGCCCTCCTTGCAAAATACCTGCTTTTTCCTTAGACAGCCATAGTTTGTCCTAAGTCTCTAGCCAGTCATTCTTGTTTGGCAGCACTATGCTAACAGATACAAGAAAATTCAACACAAAATTGAAAAAGGAAAAAAAAAAATCAAGATATTGGGTAGTAAAGTTTTAACATTCTGATTTTCAGTAAGTGTAAATAGTTATGATGCTTGCCTCATCCTCTCCCTTTTAAAAATTTTATCTATCTTGGGACATGTCATATCTTCCGGAAGTGATCCAGGACAGTGCTATGTCTGCTACTCAAGCAGTAAGATAATGTCTAGCCCAGAACTGGCTCTTCCTAGGTACAAATGAAAATCTAAGTCCTTTCTTGAAATCTTTTACACAACCTGCCAGATGAAGGTTTCAAACTGCTTTAACACATACAGGGTGTCAGCAAACTACTTCAAGCCTCACTTTAACCAGGAAAGGAGCCTGCAGATGCCAGCCTAGCAGTGGCAAGCCGGGCTCTTGCAGCAGCAGAGCCTCTCTAGTTCTCTCCAAATTGTCTTCACCAGGAAGGCTGGGGATGGAGGATGAAACAGCTCCATGCAAGCAACACTGCTCCTGCCAGCTGGCCCACTCAGAGCCTGATAGGACCAAGAAAGGCATCTGCATTGACCTTCTGCTTCCCCATCCCTGTAACAGCAGACAGAAGGGCTGTAAGAGCAGAGATTAAACTTCGGAGCACCTCACAGCTGTGTCTGACACAGACACTCCCTCCAACTCTTGGGAAAGTGCACAATCTCCTCTGAATGTGGAACTGCAGGTCATTCCCACGCCAAACACTGAATGTGTCCAGCTTTTGCATGTGATGGATGGGCTTGTGCTGCAAGAAGTGGAGGCATGTGAGGAGGAATGCCTTCGGTGGTGTGCGCTTCCAAAGCCGGGCCTGCGAGCTCTGCTGTGCGCTCCAGCAGCTGGGGCAGGGCTGCGTGCAGGGTCCCTGCCAGCACAAACGAAACCAAGGCATCCATATGCTGTGCATTAGCAGTGTTTGATCTCCTGCACTCTGGCTCGCCGTCAGATGCTCCTTCTTCCTCTCTGCAGCAGAACGGAGTGCGGTGGTGAAACCTGTGAGTCTGCGTGTGTTTATGGGCCCTGTGATGGGAACTGCAAAGCTTAACACGAAACAGTTGAGAAAATGTTGCTGGCCTCAGCCACAAAACCTGTCCTCATCTGTTCCATAATCATGGCGGAAAAGAAAATTCCTTGAGTTTTATTTTCCTGTTTGAAGATGAAATAAAAAAGGACAAAGTAGATAGAATTTAGTCCAACTGGTGTGACACCCAGATTAGAAAAGCAAAATGCAATCTCCTCTGAGTGCAGGAATTGTGGCCATGAATGGCCAAGGCCACATGGACAAGGCACAGCTTCAGTAACCCCAGACTTGAAGCTTGCCCCTGTGTAGACTACTGTCACTGTTCACCATGCATTTTCAAGTCAGTTATTGCAGTGACTCAGTTATGTTTCACTAAGAAGCTACAGACATCTCTGATCCACATTAAAAGTGTTGGTGAGACAGAAAGGAAGGCTTCACTCCATGGAGGATTTCCTGGCCCCGCAGCATTGTCTCATGCAGATTGGGAAACTGGACAACTCTATAACTTGCAAACTGTATGGTGGGGAAGCACAAACAACAACCATGTAACAATAGAAATGAATTTTATTTTGTAAAAAGTTATAAAATGAATATTGTACAAAAATAAAGTCTGTAGAGAACTTTGGTTGATTAACACAAATGACTGAGACATATAATTGCAGGTGAAGTAAAAAAATCCAGAGAAGCACACTCCTGTCTTCAGTAAGGTCTAAAAACTAAAAAAAAAAACCAACCAAAAACCTAAAAAAAAAAAATCACAAACTTTACCCTTTTGTATTTTGAACATAGAGATTTGCTTTGGTTGCAGCCCCTTCAAGCTGCACAGAAAATGCTTTGAGGCAAGATTTCACCAGCTGGGGCAGGAGAAGGCTCAGCGCTGAGCGCTGTGGCCGATCAGCTCCGGCAGCGCAGCTGAGCCTCGGTGCCCGGCAGGCGCTCGGTGCCACCTCGTGCCACCGTGGGGGTGTCACCGCCCCCGGGCAGCGCGGAGGGGCTGGCAGGGTCCCCGTGGCACTGTGAGAACAGGCCCTGCTGGGGCCAGGCTGGTTCTCCAGGGCTATCCGCCCGGGAAAGCGGCGGAAGCCGGGGATGGGTTACATGCCATGCACCTGGAACACCTTTCTATGCCTGGTCTGGACCTTCTTGACCTCTAGACCCTTCTTCAGTGGTGCCCCAAGGGGCCCAGGGCAAAATGAGTATGGAGAGCGATTACATGCGTGAGATAAAAGGCTGGACCATGGTTTTCAATAAGGATTTTTTTTCATGTTGCTTTTGTGGGAGTTGATGCTTCACTGGTTGTCAGGCATGTCTAGTGACCTGCACTCCTGCTCTTTTGGGAAAAATGTCTCCAGAATGAGAGCTTGTGTTAGTGGTCACGTACAAACACCTTTGCTGTACAACCTCCCTCCTCCTAAGGAAACTTGGACTGTTCTGCTGCATGGGTATGATCCTGTAATGTTTCAGCAAATTATACAAAACACTCTGGTTATTTAACACAACTGTTTACTTGCAGGCTATATTAAATCCAGGGCTAACAACTAGTAAGAGGGATTTAACCTCTTCTATACGGAAGTATGGAAGGAAAAGCTTAAATAAATATAACTAGAAATTATAAGGCTAAATGTGATTATTTTCCATTTGTCAATAGTTATATGAGGTCAGTTGGCATAAAGTGTGAGAAAAAAATGTGGCTACATTTAAAATACGACTAAAATTAGTTTTTCTAACAAATTGCTAATGTTGAGCCAAGTCCTGCGACCCTCACTCGTCCAGAGCCATTGCTGCTCCTGCACATGCACGACTGCAGTAATTTTCAAAAGACTTAGTGACAGGAATAAGGGCTGCAGACTTCAGCACTACCTTTTGTGAACATAATCAAGATTTTGTTTAAAAGAAAAAAAGGTAAAGTAAGTGATTTTTTGCATTCAAGTTAACACCTTCAATCAAAAGCATGGACCGTTGTTCCCAACGTCTTTGTCTCTCTATATCCCCAAGTGCCATCTACTTTGGCACCTTTGAAAGACACTTTAATAAATAAGGAGACTCATTACTGAACTGTAATAAATAACAATAACTTAATCTCAATAAATATCTTCTGTATACTTATGTCTCTGAAGGGATGCATTGCATCAAGTAGTCTCTCTCAATCACAATGACCAAATAGAAATGTAGTTATGCAAGTGACGTTAGTCCTTTGTAAACCTAAAGAAACGCATTTTGTGTAGGCTGGGCTTGTTATTTCTCTTACTATACTAGGAAGAAGTGCTTAAAAACTCAACTTGTTTTCACAGGTATCAGAAGAACAAAATCCTGCACTCAATTTGAAGAAACAAAAGATGGAAATAACCAAACTTAGCCAGTAAGCGGAACTGTTTGCTTCATAAGAACTTGAGCCTGGTCATTTTGATATTTGCCCAATATCATCTTACTTACAGGGGTAATCTTATAGCTTAGGAGTTGTCCTAAGCACTCAGGAACTGCCCTCCAGTGAGCAGTAGCACAATGTGTCTTTCAGTGGAGCTGAGGGCACAGGGGGTTAGTAAGGGACTCCTAAGCTACTTCTTAGCTAAGCTTCTTGGTATAACTGGTATATCATGGCATAACTACAACACAGCGTGATATGGCAGGGTTGTGTTTTTAAGCACGTTCCTCATGGACTGAGTCTCACTGATGGTGGATTGAGTCAAACAGGAAAGGTAGCGTGCACATCATCCATCCATCGTCATCTCCACCTGAGCTTTTATCTAAATCCCCATAAGACGCCAGAAGTCTCCATCCTTCTACTCTGCCGCATGCCTCCTTATCCCCAGGCTCTCATGGCTCCTTAGTCTGTGTTCTTGGTCCTTTTTCCTCCACCTGGAGCAGACACTTCCCTGGGAACCTTGGTCCCTCTCTTTGCAGCATAGCAGGAATGGAAAACTGTGCCGCCTCGACATGCAGCCGTCAGACGCATCCACACCTTTTTGCGGAATGTTTTTTCAGTATGTGGTAAACCAGGTTATCATCCAAAAAGGACAGGTCGTCATCAAAGGCTGTGGGTCTGCAACAGGCTTGCCTCACTTTGTCAGTGACCAGTTTTTTCTTTCTGGTTAAGTTTTTTAAAATTTTGTCATAGGTGGTCTCAGCTGCATCACAAGATCCACTGCAATACCGGAAAATTAGCTCTTCTTTGGTTTCATATCCCAAATCCAAGTCGGTCACATTTAAATGTATTTCTGTTAAGACACATCCTCGATTTTTGCCCTTTTGATTCCTCCTTCCTTTTTTGTTGGAATTCTCTATGTTTGTGGCTGCATTTTGACGGTTTCTCTCCCGCCTAGAAAAAATCGGAGTCTGTTTATCTGGTGACCTCCTCAGTCTTTTAATAGTGGCTTGAATAAAGTCCACTACCTCATCAAACTGATCTGGATAATCCTCTGGCATATTAGCTGTTTGGGAAAGAGAGAAAAGGCTTTGTCACACATCACTTATCACAAAGTTTGTCCATTCACAACTCAAAAATATTACACACATGCAAGCTTTTCTGCCCATCACTTCAGAACACATGCCCAGATCCTCAGAAATCAAGGAGAATTTGGAATGGTTTAGGTCATCACAGAAACTCATTTGGGGAAAGATAAATGAGACGCATTTGTATTTCTGTGTGTGTCTGCTGATGCTTGGTAGTGTTTCAGCACATCTTTTAATACTGAATGAGCTCTGTGGAAATAGAGGGAAGGAAAAACATATCATGGTATGAATATTAGTTAAGAGGTGGGTGAAGCCACCAGTAAAGACGTTATAGAGACTCTTCCCAGCAAAGTAGCAACAGGAAGAGGTTTCTTTAAAGCAATTTTTCCATTATAGTTGTTAATTATTTTCTTTTCACACCAGCAGCAGTTAGTATTGCCAAAGCCACCTGTCAATAAGGTTTTTGGGCATGACAGAAGGAGGATTTCCTGGGGTACCAGACTGAGATATTATTCCTGGATGAATGCCTGGGTTTTTACTGCTTCTAGGGGATAATTATTTTCATAGCTTTTGAATAATTTCTCATGTAAGTGTTTTGTATCACAAGATGCTGATCACACTGAGTAAAAATAGGTCAGAATAGAAGTATTATGTTAATTTTTTAGGGAAATGTTATGAATGCATTTTCCTTTTATGAAAATTTAATTTTTATTCTATTTAATTTATCACTTGGTATATCACTGATGAATTATTCAAGTAAATTGTACTATGAAGTCAATGAAATGTTTCAATACTAGCAGAATGAACCTCTTCAGGAAGGGTGAAATTAAATGTATTCTGAAATGCTTATAAATTTTGCCATTTCATCATAATTTGGGGGAAAAAAAACCCAAAACATTGAGATCCTTAATCTTCCCACGGACTAAATCCCTCAAAATTACCTGCTTTAGTAATTCAGAGAACAGAGGGTACGGCTGCCAGGACCCTGTGTGTGGATGCCCTTACCTTGCATTATTAATGACCATATCTTAAACTACATTGCAATATCAAGATCTTTTTTTTCATATTTATTGCCTCAAAATTTGAGACTTCTTCCTTTCCAGTAAGTCCTAAGAGAACGCTCCTTTCTGCACTTAACTCCTAAAACCCAACACACAACAGACCATGTCACACCGGTCTTGCATATATGGGAATATCCATCTCCAATACTCCTACAAATACTGCAGGAACATCAAACATTGGGAGAGGCAATATCCAGTGCAGTGCACCTGGTCAGGAGCTGTGCCTACACAAAGGCTCCCACTCAGAGAGGTGCTGAGATTGGAATGGCTCCTCAGGCAAAGAGTCAGCATTTCCACTTACTCCATTCCATTGCTTCCACTTCCATTTACTCACATTTCCCTGATGAGCACAGCAAGGCAGGAATCCCAATGGGCGACCTGAGCACAGGTACCCAGCTCAGACAGGGTAGCACTGACTCTGTTAACAGGAGGCAGGAAGGCCTGAGGCTGCCCCCACTACCTAGCAAAAGTGCACCCTCATATCCTCAGTAGAAGCACCAAATACAGAGGAGATGGGGGGCAGCAGGATCCCAACTCTGCCAGTGCAAAAACCTGCTGGAACAGAGAGCATCTGCACATGATCAGGAATGGGGACTGCTGCCTGAAGTAGCCACATCCTAGAGGCCTCTGTCCATCAATAGTGAGGGATCAGAGGTATGTGTTTTCTGTTGGATGCGTCCGGCAAAATAGTTTAGACTGGTAAAAGAGTAATGGAGGCTGGAAACCTTGTACCTCCACGTAATGAGGGTGATACAAGGCAAACAGGGTGCTATAAACTGTAGAGTTTGAAACTGAAAAAGGTGAATTACACTTTGTTTTATCCATGCTGAAAACAACAATCCCAGAGAGCAGTGTTCATGTTCAAAGACACGAGGGAGGGATGGCTGCTATCTATACAGCTAGGTGGAACCTGAACAAGGCAGGACCCAGCCCCATGTCTCTGCAACACCAGTGGTAAGTACACTTTTCTTTTATTCCTCTATCTCTGCAGCAGATAACAAAATACACACTGTGAGGGAAGTTGCTTGGATGGATGTGTCCATTGGATGCACCAACCAGCTCCTTTGCAGAACAGGCTGGTCTGCCTAGTCTGTACAAGTATTGCCCAACCGAGCAAGAACCAGGTCCCGGCAACAGGTGGGCTATGTTCCCTTAAAGCAACAAGGGCTAGACATCTTTCTAGACTCAGTTAAAAAAGATGACCCACATGGAGCTCACATAACCCCCACTGCTGAAGTACAAATTTGGCCTTGACACAGATACAGATGGAAAGTAGTTGGCAGAAGGCAATTATTGCTCGAGTCTGAGTAGTTTCTAGATTTCCTACACAGAAACTAGTTTTCTTAGTCTATATCCAAATTAGAGAAGGATGTAGCCCTGAGGAGATGGCTCTAGAACTGCCCTTCTCCCTCCTAAACTCCAACTGCCTTCCTCTCATACCACTGTGACTACCCCAGCCCACACCTCTCTTTAGCACAACCTTTCTACCAACAGTATGATGCAATGAGACCTTGGCTATGGAGAGTGAAACACAACTGTAGGGAAACATACGAGGGCTTAACAAAATTAGTGCAGTGATCAACCATCAGGAAGGGGACAAGAGACAGCTACAGCAAAAGCCAATTTATATGTAGAGATTATTGTTTGCAACATTCAGCCTTATGCTTATCTCGAGCCTGGCACACTGACAGGGTAGTGAGAGCTCCCTCTCCCAAGAAGGGAGAAACAAAACTATGGATTAACTGAAGAGATAATCCATCTTGGCACATCACTTGTAAATGGCTTGCAATTGAGGGGCAAAAATACCACCTAGCCCTGTGAGAGTGCTATAGGCAGGCGTGTACCTTGGCTAAATACCAATCAGACAGCTACAGGGTAGCACTGTTCTGGCAACTGTATCCTGGAGGGTAGTAGATAGGAGGAGGGCAGACCCATGTGGTGGACTGTGTTCCTGATAAAAGTGCACACTGAGATCCATCCTGGTTCATGTGTGATTCCTACCCCAGCTGCACCCAGGGAGGTAATGCCACTGAGAGCTTTCTGCACTGCGAGTGGCCTGTGATATTTCAGGTTGAGAAAACTAAATGCCACTAAAGAGCCCCACGCAATGCTGGTGACACAGACATGCACTGTCAACCCTGCAGAAGGTGCGAGCATTAGGGCAAAAAGTAGATCAAATAATCAAACCAACAGCATTCAACTAGAGAAATCCTACCTACACATACAGACAATCTGCACCCAGAAAACGGGGTCACTGGCAGCAAGACTGGTCCTGCTAATGTCAATAAGGCTCTAACATGAACTGTTCAAGAAGTGTTCCAAGTGCCTAATGGAGCTGAGGATCCCTGCTCTGCTCATGCCCTACTGCAACACCAGGATATATTTTGGAGACTCACTGGGAGGAATGCCAGTACTATTAGTAAGATGAATTCCAATTTCCTGCCTCCAGGGTGGACTTTCTCTTCAGCCCAGGGAACTGGAAACTATCCCATGCAGGTATCCAAATCTACCAGTAAGACTCCTGCAGTGGCCCCCAATATTTGGAGATAACATCACTGGAGGAGACAAAAGGCCTGTGGGTGATAAAAGGAAACTGGTGGAAACAGTGGGCATATGGAGAGAGTCCCTGTAAGATCTATGTATTAGATGAGTCCTAGTCACTCCAAACGAGCTACAGCTGCAAAGTCCTTAGCTGGGCAGCAGCTGTAGCTTGTGAAGGTAACTGGAATAAAAAGGGGTGGTTTGAGAACCCAAGAGGAGCCCTTGAGAAGCTATGAGTGTTGCAGAGAAAAACTGCTTGGTGGAAAACCAGCAAGAAGGTATGAACTTTAGGAATATAATTGCAACAGTATGGGACTTGAGAAATATGATAATTACAATAAGATTACAACATGGGCACAGAGCTCCCCTTGAGAAAATGTGCAGGTCATCCTGGTAATGTCTGCCCACCTGAAATTCATGTGCTGGTACAGGCTATATAGGTACATTAAATCAACACAGGGCAGCTGCATTACTGGGCTACTCAGTGAGACCTTGCAAGTTTCTTAAGCAACGCTCTCCTCTGCTTGTGGAGCCTCAAACTGGCTGTGAGCAATGTAGCAATGCTCTTTTGGCAGCTTCAACACAGTGCCAAGGTGTCCCAGGTTTGCTTCCATAATTTAACAGTCTTGGCAACAGCTCCAATCCCTGCAATCAGATAATTTTCTACTGCTTAATAAATCAGTCATCAGTGTGACTACAAGCAGTCACTAGGAATGGGTCACAGGGGTCTGGAAGAAGGATTGACAGCCAGGAGTGGAGGGAGACTTGTCTTAGCCCTGTGCTGAGATGCCAGCCATGGCTCCGTAGGGATAGTCAGCTTTCCAACAAGCATGGGTGTGAAGACCTAGAGCCTGAAACAAAACTCTGTGAAAAGCTGCTGAAATGGGACCCAGAGCAATCCAGTGGAAACACCAGCACTGACAACAGGCACGATGGGTTGAAACCAGAGGTAAATGCTGAGGAAGCTTCCATTAGACATCATACATGGATAACCAATAACCTCTGCGACTAAACTCCATAAAAGGCTAGCAGACAGAAGGGAAGGTGGAGTAGACTGACTGCAGGATGTCCCCATCCTGATGGGCACGTGGTAGATGTGCTCCAGGGATGCTGAGCCCTCTCTGCACCACAGACATCACACCCTGTGCACTTGTTTGGTCTGTGCAGTGTTTTAAGTTCTGCTGGGGGCAGTGGGGATGCTGAGCAGAGCTGTGGCCAGGGAACATCAGCGCACTCATGGGGGCTGCCTTAGCGAGCAGCCATGGTTTATAAGCTGAATAAAGCTTTTTGGTAGAGCTTTTTGTTACCCTTCTGTTTAGAAAATATTTATAGTCTCACAGCATCTTAGCTTCTCTCACACTGCACGGACTGTGCTG